TTGGTATTGATCTTTCAGGAGGACTAGTGGTCCTATTAGGCGAGCCAAAGGTGGTTGGACTCCTCAAGAGGTCAGCATTCATTTTGTACTTATGTTCACTTGTTTGTATTATCAGCCTGAAGCATGAATGGTTTTCGTGTTTGTTACTGAACTTACTGGGGGAGAGGTTCATAATTTTCAGTCATTAAATAATTAAAACTCTTAATGCCTGAAAAAGTCGCTGCTTTTAGACTAACTGGTTGTATTACTTATTTTATCAGCACTATCTCCCATTTTCGTATGTTGTTGCTATGATACATGTCGCTTCTGTTTTCTTAGTCACAACCCTTTTCAGGGCATGTTTCTAATTTTCAATAAATGTTGGATTGCCACAGGATGAGACATTACGGGTTGCCGTTGCAGCTTTTAAAGGGAAGAGTTGGAAGAAAATAGGTATGTCTCTCTCTTGAGTATTGTTTCTGATTTATGTTGCTGGTTTTCAAGGCACAAATGCAGCTTTTGGTTAGATTTTGTGTAGTTACATCTTTCAATAGCTATGGTGCTTTTAGGTGGCAGTGATTCTGCTCAGCAAATGTGCTTGACTAGTCTTTTAAATAGTAGAGATCTTGATAAATTAAAAGAAATCCAGTTTTGGTTGAATGCTAAGAATATATATTCTGAGCTCTGAAAATTCTAAGCAAGCACGTCATTGATGTCCCAAGAGGTTGAAACGAGTTACTTTTCATTCAATTGCCTGATTATATATTATACCTCTGTTGTTAATTTTCTGCTGTACCAACATACAGGCAACCAATATAATATATGAATTTTAAATAATGTGTATGCAGCTGAATTTTTTCCTGATAGATCGGAAGTGCAATGTCTGCATCGATGGCAGAAGGTTCTTAATCCAGAACTTGTTAAAGGACCCTGGACTCAAGAGGTTGGAACCTGATATCATATTTTCCTAATATGTTTTTACAGTGTAGGTATGAGCATTCAACTTTGTCTAACTCAACTTTCTCCTTACTCGTTTTATTTGTAGGAGGATGATAAAATAATTGAACTGGTAGCAAAGTATGGACCTACAAAATGGTCGTTGATAGCAAAGTCTTTGCCTGGTCGTATAGGGAAACAATGCCGAGAGAGGTAACCTCCATAAGCTTTTAATTATGTTTGACACCATCACCCTATGGTTATTATTAAGTTCTGATGTTATTGTCATATATGATCTGGAAATCTTGACCACTGTAATGCTGACCTGATTGATCATGTTTTCCTCAAAATGTTTTGCTCTGGAATTAACAATTATGCCATTTATTACTTATATAATTTTGTATAATGCTGATGCTTTATACATTTTAATGTTATTCATTCCATGGCATGTATCTTACAACTAATTTGTTCAGGAAACAAAAACAAATCGTTTGGGTAGTGTATATGCTTGTAACCCAGTTTTTCTCCCTTCAGGTGGCACAATCACTTGAATCCTGATATAAAGAAGGAGGCTTGGACGTTGGAGGAGGAATTAGCTCTTATGAATGCCCACCAGAAGCATGGGAACAAGTGGGCTGAAATAGCGAAGGTTTTACCTGGAAGGTATCTTTCTTGTTTGATTTGTTATTTATAAATGACATTAAGGTGCAAATTAGAGCAGCACTACAGAGATGTAGCCAATTTCAAAGACTACCGCTAATATGTGACATCAAGAACCTTTGAACAGTGGTCTTACAAGTTACATCTAATTTTCGGTTAAAACATTGTGAGAAATGCCAATTTCAGTGACGGATGATATTGTAATGCTGCCTGGAAACGACTGGTACCTAAGAAATTAATTTTTAAATAAAAATATCATCTTATAACTTGGAAACCACTGTTACCAAGTTCATTTTATTTTGTTGTGTGTATGCAGTGCTTACTAAGCCAAATGTTGTATTTAACTTTGTGTTTGCAGGACAGATAACGCAATAAAGAATCATTGGAATAGTTCCTTGAAGAAAAAACTTGAGTTCTATTTGGCTACTGGGAAACTTCCACCACCTCCGAAGTATGGCACCAAAGAGACAAGAACCAGTGCAACTAAAAAATTACTTGTTTGTTCAACTAAAGGATCGGATTCAACTGCTCAAACATCATCTGGAAATGCAGACATGTCTAAGCTAGATGAAGATGGAAAGGATCAGTTTGAGTCTGCCGCCCCACCTCAGGATATGGGTGCTTCACCAAGTGTTCATCCAAATGAATCTGCAGATTCTAAAGGTGTAGAATGTAAGCTGAGATTATCCTTTATGGATCTTAGCTGCTCTAACTCAGACTCAGGGCCAAAGTTTGAGAATTTCAGAGTAAACAGAAAGCCTCAGATTGAGAATTCTGTCATTAACAGCCAGTCAGAGTTGGAGAATTGTGTATTTAACAATCAATTAGACGAAGACAGAGTTAAGACAACATCTGTGCCAGTTGAAACTCCAGGATATGGTTCTTTGTACTATGAGCCGCCACCACCAGAAAGTTGTGCCCAATTCGATTCAGGTTTTTCAAACATGCATCACTTGCAGTATGATTACACCTCTAGTCCAAATTTATCACCTATAAGTTTCTTCACTCCTCCTTCTGCGAATGGCAGTGGTTTATGTAATCAAAGCCCTGAATCAATTTTGAAAATCGCTGCTAAGACCTTCCCCAATACTCCTTCCATTTTGCGAAAGAGAAAGACCATTGGCCAAGAACAATTGCCTGGTAATAAAGTTGCGATAGTGGATCAGTGAATCTGGGATAGTGGATTGTGAATCAGTCAGGGAACAGGAGAGACACAAAAACAGTGCAGAAGTTTCTGGGTCTCAAGATGGAAGTTCATGCGAGAGTCCAACTAATAATGGTATCAGTACAATTGGGTCTAATGGCAAGGCTTTTAATGCATCTCCGCCATACCGGTTAAGAGCTAGGAGGACTGCTGTTTTCAAGTCCGTGGAGAAACAGCTGGAGTTTACATGTGACAGAGTATGATGCTAATTCTAAGTCCGTGGAATTATCTGCAAATGGCAGCTCTGCTGTTATCAAAGACTCAACACATCCAACAAAAATGGGAGTGACCTAGGGCATGCACTGTAAGTTTCAGCTTTTGTTATAATTGTTCTCGAACTTATTTGTCTCTGATCTATCTTCATAAACTATTATCATCAAACTAAATCTTACAACCTTTGGTGTCGTCCTTTGTATAAGTAGTTATAGGATTCACACTTGGTAAACTGTTTTTCTATTTTATTTTTGAAACTTGATCTGACAAAGAAAACTGTCAAGCTCTAAATGCAAGATCTCTATATGACATAGAATTGCTTAGTCAAGTAGTGAATTATGATCGTAGATTATCTGGCCTTTCGATTTTATCGTATCGTTATATTTCTAATTACACACCTTACGAGGTATAGATTATACATACATGCATAGGTGACAACCTTGCAGAAGTAATTGATAGATTTTTGGTTTTCTGATAGAGGAATCAAAGTTGTCATTCCTTTCATTTTGTATTGAATCAGTTAATCATTTCGGAAATATATGCGGAAATCTGTAATATTCTTTTGTTTCCATAAGCAATAAGTAAGCTCGTTAAAGAACTACTGTATTGAAACAGTTAATCATTTTGGAAATATATGCAGAAATCTGTAATATTCTTTTGTTTCCATAAGCGATAAGTAAGCTGGTTAAAGAGCTATTGTTTTTGCAATCCTTGTTGTTTTCTCATTCTATCCACTCTAAATATACCCTTACTGTTAGCCCTTTTGTTTCGTGAATGTGTGTCTGATTTGATCTCCCTCTGTTTCAATTCAGGGACAAAGAAGGGCGATTCTTTTGACGTTGGCTGACACTGTTGAACTGGTGGTATTTCCAAGTCTACAGAGCTTCTGAACAGAGTGATACATCGATTTATCCGACCATTCTCTGGTCTCACATCTTCAATGCCTTACAAGTCAGTTAACTTGCAAATACACCCCTTGTTATTAGTTACACGAGAGCGGTTTTTCGGCACTCCTACTTGACAAAATACAGTGGGCAGGGGCTTCTTTTATGTGTAGAAATAAAAATGATAGGCCTCAAATACTTGTGAAAATATATTGATTATATCAGGATTGTACAGAAAACCCCTCATCAAGGGAGCCATGATGCTTCATGCTTGAAGAATTTCTTAATGAAAGCCTAGCTCCTGTCATTCTTTACCAATATTTACAGTTAGTAATCTTTTATATTTAGTGGTCAAAGTACACTCTTGGAAATCTTAGGGTTGCTCTTTATTGCGCCAATTATTTTTTATTTAGGGTCCTGTTTGATATCCATTTATTTGTTGACCAATAAAATTTAATTTGCAGTTTTCATATAATAATAATTGAAAACAATAGTAGAAAAATACAGTGTGAACGTGTCGTTGACTGACGTTGACCTTACGTACGGCGGCCCTCTTTCCTCTCAGTGTGCTTATGTCAAGTCGTACATTACTCGCATGGCGAATGCTCTGGCTTGTGCTACCTTATCTTTTTCTAAGTGTCTATGAAGTGGAAGAAATCTCACTAACCTTCTCACTTTATAAATTGCTTCTTCTTCGTTTTGTCTGATGGTATATCGTAAGAGGTAGAAAATAGTGAACGTGTGTATTTGCTTTTGATTTAGGGCTACATTGGCGCCGGACCTAAGTTTATGTCCTTTTGAACCCACTATAAATTCCTCAATAAAAAAATTAAAAAAAATTACGAACCTCCATATTTAATCCTTTTGAACCCACATTGATGCCCGACCTAAGTTTATGTCCTTTTGAACCCACTATAAATTCCTCAATAAAAAAAATTACAGACCTCCATATCTAATCCATGATGCTTTATTCGAAGATTGTACTATTTAATCATTAACGAAATGCTATGTTTCAACTTGAAAAATAAAATAAAATGTTACATGAGTTGGTCATACCACGAATACGCTTTCTTTTTTAGCAGGTAGTGTTGGAACTTCTTTTTGGTTAAAAGGCAAATACAATCGACAACTAAAAGCTCTGATTAACATTGGCACATTCGACATATAACCACCTAAAAATGTTATAAAGTGCTTTTATAACTTCTTTTCCGTGTCTTTCGCTGAAAGCGCTAGGGACCATGAGCAGTTCTTTGTATTTTCAAACTTTTAGCTATGGAAGCTTTTAACGGATCAAAGGATTTATCGACACGCCCGACCGGAACAACTAGAAATCTCTATTAACAGCTCCACAAGCCACTCTGCCTCCCCCCTCAGCTCTTTGGAGAAAAAGAATGCTTATAAAACAAATAAATAAATAACACCACAAACAGAGAGAGAGAGCGATGGACCCGGCAGCAGTGGAGGCTTCTCTCCTCAACTGCTAAAGCAAAGCATGCAAATGCCACTACCCATAAATCAGTGGCTCATGAATTATGGTTAAACTTTTATGTACAACCGTTTGATGGACAACCCCCTGGTGAAGATAGTTCGCAGTAGAGACTTCAGACTTCAGCATCATATCGAACTGTACATGCATAAAAAACGGAAGGAACAACCTGCCGCCAATAAACTAGTCTTCCCTTGGGACCAAATTTTCAACCTATGGAGAGGGATACCCAAGCATCTGCCACTGTAGGTAACAAGATATTTTAGTACCAGTACGATTTAACAAGCAAACTAAGAGCAAAGACGTGTGTAGCGGTGATGATAAAGAGAACAAAGTGTTCCATACTTTTCAGAATTTTAATAGTTAACTTATAGCATCACCAGTAGCCACCAACCTCAATGTGCAGTAAACTGAACCGTTGATCCTAGGTCCAGATTTATTTTCGGAAGTGGATATTATCTGCTGCTATCAAGAATCCTTTGCCATCAATCTCTGTCAACATATATGCCACATGAGATGCCAAAATTAGAACATTCAGCATCGTGAATAAAATCTGATTAACATCGAACTTGGTAACATGGTGAACTAACATCCATTAAGTGCATGATTTTTTTATACCTTGAAATCCAAACTAAACCATGAAGAAAGAACCAATAGTAGTTTGTCCAAGAACCTTGGAGCTTCGATCAAGGCCATGAGAAGCAACCTACCATGCAAATCACAAACCATTTATCATAAAACTTAGAACCGAAACAAGAAATATTTTCAATTGGAAGTTTGGAACGTATAAATTAAGGATGCTTCTATATGAACTCGCAGACAAGGCTCAACACATCCCCTTCACTTGAGAAATTTCAACACAAGGTATAGCCACGAATCATGGATGGTGGAGTGAGGCAAAGGGCTCCAAGTGGAGGGTAGGAAAGAGCGTGAGATTGCGCCAAATTTTTTCAGATTTATTTCTCAATTTAGTAATAAGGGTACAATTGGAATAACAAGATTACCACAAACTGTTAGTGACAATGGGTTTCTTCAACATTTACTACATTAAAGAAAACATTATGCAAATTAAGAACGCAGCAAAATATTCTCACCAAGTAAGTTAAAGCTGCATAACGTTCCTTGTTCAAGTACAACGGCTTTCCTCTCTGCATTTCAATATCCTGCAATAACAAAATTTACATTATCATACACAGAAGCATAAATCCCTATAAATCAACGAATGCACTAAAAGCACAAATAAGAACAGGAGCGTCCACAAGTGCTACTTCCAACATCTTCATCTTTTTGTAACCATTTTACATTTTCTTTTTTAGGGTTTTGGGCTGAGGGTAGAGTAAAACTGCAAAGCGACTTTCTGCATTTTATTCAGCAAAACTCTAAGCGATGAAGAAAGGGGGAAATTTCTCTTCTTTATTGACACAACAATATTGCAGGGTTGGAGATTTGGGCTAAACCACACTATGGGGTAGCCATAATTAGGTATTTCCCATAGGAGTTGAACCTAAGACCCACTTACAAGTGGAGAGGAATACCGCTAAACCGCAGTTCCAAGTGGCAGAAGGGGAAAATTCCAAACCGCTTGAAAGGAGCTCTATGAAATGTAGTATCAAATAATCTTTTGCTTCATTCTATACATGTGAAACTCCAAACTGAAAGAGGAGATATGCAACTGTAGTGGGTGGATGGCATAGTAAGAACTTCCTCTAAATACCCATAACTCATTCCTCCTCTTGCCAAAGCAATAAAAATAATGGGCATTTCACAAGTAAGCCCTTGATAGCATAAAAAAGATCAATGACTTGCTAAAAGCTCCTATAACGCAAAATATGCCTAAGTACCCTAGGATCAAACCTGTATGACCTCCGGGATCAGAGCACCTAATTTGTCTACCCTTCTGGAAATGTTCACTAGCATTGCTTTCCTTGCAGGGTTTTCCAGAAATTATCATAAAAATGCACTATCCTTTTGAGAAATACAAATAAGTATTGAAAAAATATTACCCACCATTATCTTCTCAAATGCTTCAAACTGAGAAAATCAAGTGGAGTAAGATGGATGTACAAGGGCTCACCAGAATATGGTATGATTTGTCATTTCAAATTGTTTACAAGGGAAGACAACGAAAGAAATAGAGGAATAAAATTGCTGCGGGATTTACAATAGCAGAAACCAATTACCTCTTCTCCAAAAGCATCCAAGTAGGGTGATGGCCAGGGAGCTTGCCGTGCAGATCTTTGCAGCAGAATTGTTGTCCTCTAGATTCACACCAAAGAAAATTAATCATCTCCGCAAACAAGAATAGAGGTAAAAACAAAATTTAAAGATCTAAAAGATGGGCTTCCAAACATAATTATTAAAAAAAGTAACCACATTGCATACCCTGATCAACAGAAATACCCCAGTACCAGAACCACAGGACACTGCATGAGTTTGGCATTCACTTTCCCTAAGATAAATTTTCAAGTTTAGCAATGATGGAGCAATGGGGCATAAACATGTATTAAATGGAAATCTATCCAATAATAATGACATATATTGGTGATTATATACTTGCAACATGACTTCCAGCTTGGAGAGCATAATCTCCCACAAAGCAAGCACAATACAGGGTCATCAAGAATATCCTCGCAATCAGGACAACGCTGTTTTATATACCTGCAAAAACACAATCTTTCTGAGTAAACTTTAATTCTGGAGAGATCCTTTTAGAAGACAAGAACTCCAGTAACAAACCAAGAAGCAATTCAACTAACCTCTGCAATATGTCCTGGTAAACTCGAGGCAGACGCATCAATTGGAAGGGAACTGCAGGGCTACAGTGCATGCTTCCTTGAAATCTTTGGACCTCCAACTCCTTCCGAAAATGATGGAACCATTTCTGAGCTATTGAACGTACCACTTTATCCTTAAAGATAACATCCAGTGTAGGAACCTTGAACATGCTTTCTATTTCTTGAACATCATTTAGATTCACCAGTGCCACATAAGTGGTGTCCATCATGTCACCAATGGCATGAGATCTATCCAAGACATTATACCTTTCATGGAATGGTAATCGGGAACAAGAGTTCAGCAGCTTCAACAGCAATGCGCACCTCCGCAAATAAGGGAAACTCAGGCTGCAAACTATGTTCTTAATATTACAAGAAGAGCCAATATAGTTTGAAACGAAATATTGCTGGGTGGCTCCAGATTCTTCCATAAGTTTAGATATGTCAGTAACCAGGCAATCATCAATACCTAATCCACTAATGTCACATTGATTTTTCCCACAAAATGTCATTATGCCCTGCATTCACATTTCACCATAATGAATTAGGCCACTAGATGTTTTTAATGCTATCTAAGAATTATGAGAAAAAAGGGAGAAGTACCGCTTACATACCTGAACTACAGAGACAACATAAAATAAGTGCACTAGGGATAACAATGAATCTTCACATGATAAAAATTGGTATGGAAGACAAAAAAGAACCCACATCAATGATGTAAAGGGATCACGAGCAAGGACAGGATCAGAAGCTCGATTCCAGAACTGAATATCAGGATATGATACTGCTAGATCAACATGTTCCAAGATACGCAGCATAGCACCTGCGAAACATAGCATTGATGAGGATTTAACCGAATAAAGTAAAATGCTTCAATGTTTGGTAAAGCATAACACCTAAAATTTTGCACTATGTGAAACTTGAATGCTTAATAGTTCTTTCGTGGCTTTCAATAGGGTCCAAGAATTCAACCAGCCACAACATTCTCCATTATACGAATGAATAATGCTACTTATCCCAGATTTCTCTCAACTTTTTTTTTCCCAATCAGACATGATATATACACCAGATCATTGCATTAAGAAATGCAGAAATGTTTTAGAATCCAATGTGAGAATGCCATGTAAAAAGTTGGGCTCAATAGCAGTATTAATCATCTAAAAATCACTTTCGTAAAATTCATCTTTTGAAAGAAAAAACAAGAATGGACAATAACTCTTAAATCTAACTGTCTTCTTACAGTAGGCACACTATTTGTAATTTTGAACGGTCCGTGACTAGCGAATCAGATAGCAAGAAACAAATATTCACAGAAAGTCACTTGAAACATATGAAATAAATGGCTTTTACTGGTAGCAACAATACCTTGTCCACATGTTTCATTGCCAACGTCTATGGAAACTCCAAATAGTATAGACTCTGTAAAGCTTTGAATTCCTATAAATCTCTGAAGGACATGAAGAGAATTCTTTCTTCTATTTTGGACTATTTTCAGCAACAAGGACAAAATAAATCTACTTGATTCAAGTTCCTTATACAGTGTACTAAGGCCATAGCTTAGAGTTGCATATTTCCCACCAGAACGAGCAGCAATTTCTGTTGATAGTAGAGAGTACTTAATTATGTCCCACATAAGCATTGGGTGGTTGACCCTGGCAGATCCTGATAACTTATCCGGTTTAGACAGAAAATACATCTTACAGAGCAATCGAAAAATTGGTTCAAGGTCTGAGGTCATTCTTCCACATTTCTGAAGGGGGAAACCTTTTAGACTTCCAACCTTCCCATATGCCTCTGCTGCAGATTGCAAGAGAGCCAACCCTTGTTGAAGCTGAAGAGAACTAATTTCGTCACCTGATTTGACCGATTGACCAGTAGCATGCGACGAACTAACACCTGAATACAGAGGCTCCTTAGTGACCTGGAGAAACTCTGGCAAAGCGGGCAAGACAGAATTTGCAAGTCGACGGCATACAGGGCAGAGAAACTCCCCCTATGGGTAAAAGAATAAAAATGCAAAAGGTTAGTAATAGAACCCTCATCTATTCACTGCAGAAGAAAAGAAAAATATGCAGGGAATCCAGGTACCTTGTCGGGATCTGCAATATGTCCCCCTTCAAAAACAATTCTTCTAAGATACCTGCACGAACAGATAAGATGGGATAGGTTAGGCCATTTTCACTAAAATAGTAAAATGTCAACAATCTTCCAGAGCAACGTATATGATATATCTGACTATTTTTCCTTTAGTTGTTGCAATGCATCATAACCACAAATGCAGGAGATTTCATTTTTTAGCAACCATCGATTTGGAAAACTACACCATAGCCCCTTGTAGAACACACCATATAAAGAAAAAAAAAAAAAAAAAAACTGAATGAAAATTGAAAAATCATCAAGGCAAGATTAAAGGTTCACGCAGGCTTCTCAAAGAACAAGGCAATTCCAATTGCAAGGTTAAAAGCAAGGCCAAAGAGATTAAGAAAGATGTATTCTGAAACCATCTTTTCCAAAGTTTCTGCTACTGCCCTTCCAAGTTCATTGAACAAGGTGTAACTGCTTTCACTAGTAGTCAATAAAACAACAGAGAAGGCCTTCCCTCTTAACAAAATATCTTGATAGAATTTCTCATTTTAAAAAGTACAACTTCCACTGTTCATGCGAATAATAAAAAAAAAAATATATAAATCCATAATTAAGATTAAAAAGTGATCAAGAATTCACAACCAAAATTACTAAGGATTGAAGATTTCTCTTATTGAAAGGGAGGACATTTTGCTGCGTGAAAGATCTTTACAATTCTCCTTTCCTAGGCTGTTCAACATATCCAGGTTTCATAATATTTCTAGTGTGGCGAGTTTTGCTGAACATTCTTTGAATTGGGACTTTGGCTTTCGAAGGAATTTGCGTGATGTGGAATTAGACGAGTTGTCATCTTTCTTGACAAGTTTGGATCAGGCTCGCTTTCTCCTTTCAAGGGCTGATGCAAGAATTTGGATACTTGATTCTTCAGGAAGCTTCTCTTTTAAATTTATTGCAACTTCCTTCTCAAAAACGATGCAGATAGGGTTTTTTCAGGCTTATGGCCTGTTTTGGAAATCTAAAGTAATAAAGTGAAGGTTTTTACTTGGTTAGTGGCTCATGGGAAAGTTAACACTTGTGACATACTCCAGTAACGGAGACCTAGTTCATGTCTACAACCTGATTGGTGCATTTTATGCATGATCATTTGTTTCTTCACTGTCCGGTGGCCTTAAATCTATGGTAGAGAAACATAAATTATCAGGAAAGGGGAAGAAAATCAAGGTCTTATGGGGTTGTATAGTTTCAGCTATCCTTTGGGTCATTTGGATGAAAAGAAACAAGCTGATTTTTTAGGACTACGAACTCAGTTGAAGGGAGGATCTTTGGGATAAAGTTTAGTTATCTCTTTGGGCATCGGTTACTACAAAATTTAAACATTTGTCTCTTTCAGAAATTTAGCGTAACTGGATTGCTGCTATTAGTTAGTTTTGTGTTGTTTCGCAGTTTCTAAGTGTCAGGGTGATGTTGGTATTTATCCTGTTTTGTTTGTGCTTTTGCGGACTTCTTGTCCGCTCTTGTATTTTTATTGTTTCTTTGCAATAAAAATTTGTTTCTCCTTCTTAAAAAAAAGGGGTTTACCTTTCCTTCAACGAAGATAAATAACGATCAAGGCATCCCTGATGTACAGCATGTCCACAGGAAGAAAGATAAATTCCATCACAATCTGTCGGGCCAAATCCGTCATGTGCTGAAAGACAAGAAGAATCTACTGTCACCCTTTCATTAGGAGCACTTTCGGAAGATGAAGGATTCTCTGTTGTCTCTCTAGAAAGAGAAGCTATATATTTTCCAAGTAACATAAATTCAGCATGCTTAGTTTCTTCTTGATCCCCTTCAGGAGTTGAAAATCCCTTATCCTCTAAAGGATTAGAATGAAGCATCTTATCACGCATTTCCTTTTGGATGGAGATGTACATATCATCTTCCATTGTCTCAAATGTATATAAAGTATTTTCCCTTTCATCATTTGATTCACGTTGCACTTGGATATTCCTTAATTCATGGAAACTTAATTCATGGAACCGGCCCTTGAGAAAATCTATAAGAGCGTCAACATCCCTAGGTTGTCCATGATAGGCAAATTCGGTGACTGCATTCTGAACCAAATGTCTACAAGGATCAGATGGCACCAGTTGTGGTCCTGAACCACTTGATAAAGTGCTTAATCCGGATTGATCATTAACCTCGTTTGTGGTAATAGAGATGTGCTCCTTGTCTATCCAACGTGGTTGCTCCCATGACAAGGGACCTCTTTCTATGAAACTCAAAAGTCTAGATTTCTGAAGTAAAACCAAGTAGGATATCGGATTTCTGGAACTGGGATCATGACAAAGAGAGCAAACAACTTGTTCAGACTCTTCCAAATCATCTTCAACATTAAGTTCACAAACCTCTTGCTCCGATTTTGAACCCTCGTCCACAGTGGAATTAACACTGGCCATAAACTTGGATTGTTCGGCTCTCATTTTTTCCAATATGGCAGCCTGTCTCTCTCTGGCTTTTGCCTTGCGCTTCTCAGAGTCAGAAATTGAACCTGAGGTCTTAGCGTCAACATTTGGAGAAGATTGCGACACAAGACCAACCACTTCAGGTGCAAGTTGTTGTAATATGGTCAAACATCCAGAATCAATCTCTACAAACTTCTTTAATAAACTTCCAATTAAAGAAGAGAGGTCACAACTTCCAGCTTCCAAACAATTGTTGACATTCTCTTTCTTATACATCCTCATCAAGATAACAAGAAGTGACAGCAAGCTTTGTTGACCAGCACCAAAGTATCGTCCTTCATTGATTTCTTCCCCAGCAAAAGCTAGCATGGGAATTGCATCTCCATCATAACAAGACTTATCACCAGCTTCCTTATGTTGAGAACAAATGTCTAATGCTAACGAAAGTAAGTGCAATGCAGTTAACAGAACACTATCAGGAGCCCGTGACTCACTTGATTTATCAGAAGAAACAGCATAAAACAACACAGCACGGATAATTTTAAGGACTGCTTTACATGTAGCAATTCTAGCTACCCCTTTGAAAGGACAATAAATCTTAGTCCATCTGGGTAGCTGAGTGGTCAATGCAGAAACACCACGAAAACGCAAGTATCTTTCTTCAGCAGCTTGCAGATCCCTCGAGTTCCAACGAGGGTAGTACAAATCCAGTTCTTTCCAAAATGTCCATTGTAGTGAATAAGTCCCCTGATTAAAGCCAGAGGGATTGGAGTACACGGCAATGGATTCCAAAATTCCATGTAGCTGATCAGACTTGGACAGATCACGAGGAAGAGATTTAACCAATTGACTATGAGTGCCATCCACAATGGCTAATTTATGAACCAACTCTCTTTTCAAACTTTCAGCTTTAGTTAGACCACAAAATCGCCTTTCTTTGACTATTTGTATAATAAGAGTGAGCATTTCTTGCACTAGAACAGTCTCATATTCACTAGAGTGCTCAAGGTTCAAAGAAAGGTAACTGGACAGGCCAAAGCGTTCTACAATTCTGTTAACATAAGGATCAGCTGGAGCCAAGGCAGCACAGCATTGAAGTAGAAACAGATCAAGCTCCAAACCCTGTTCAGACCTGCAATATTAACCATATGATAAAGAGTCAATCCTGAAAATAAAAGGAGGAAAAAAAAGAGTGAAAAGAAAAATCAATCATTACAAGAGATGTTTTCCCCCTAAAATGCATGCCACAGATGAAGCAGAAATCACTTACCAGCGAACTGAACGATACCACTCACAAGATAATAGGGCTGCATCCCCATTTTTCCGCCACATTCCCGCATGAACCTCGGCACAAAATACTCTGATCCGAAGGGGATGCTCCATAACAAAGGCAGAAAATCCATACGGGTGGCAGCCTCCCAGAATATTTCCAAAGAAGTCAGTTAAAATAGCTGATGATGAATTTACAGAAGTAATGCTAGCCAGATCTGGCACTTCACCAAAACATCTTCTTAATGCTTTCTGTAAAAGCAAGGAAAGTAAGCGGTGTAAAGGAATGTGAACAGATATATCCTGTGAATTAACATCATATGTTATGTCTGGCCAATCAGACAAACTCAATACACGTAGAGCATCTAAGTCCGTGGCACCATCTACTTCCATAGCACTATCATCAAATCCTGCAGGATTGCAGGCATTGACTGAATCAATGTTGTCAGTAACCATCAAATTATTCTCCTGCCCTGCAATTCTGCCATTCTGGGGGTCAACACTCATATTGCAATCACTATGTAAATGTGATGAACACTGCTTGCCATGATCTTCACTAGAACTGGCAAGTCTACCAAAAATATATTTTCCTTTCCTGATCTTGGATAATGTTCTCTTCAATGCTGAAAAATTGCTAGCAGAGAAATTGCAAGTACTTGGAGAAGATGCATCAAGAAGAGTCCTGGAGGTATTATCACCTCCCAGCCACTTCTCAATTGCCCTCAAGCACTCATATGTTAGCCACATCACAGATGGTGGAATCAACAAATCAGAAAGAGCATCTGATTTATCTTCAGAAACCTTTGACTCACACGCAAATGAACTACTCCCCACTGCACTACATGCAGAACTTTCCTGGGACAGCCGTCCTACTTTTGAATGTCTTAGGCTATCCCTGTCATCCGTATCCTGCTTATATGTTCTGAAAAGAGAGTCTTCATCCATCTTGTCAATAGCTACAGAAAATGCCCCATCCACCAATAAAGAATGAATGTTGGCAATTGAATGACCTAGAACAAACGGCAGATGCATATTCTCATTTTCTTCTTCAATGAGCAGGCCTGTTTCCCTTTTTTGAGGGTTCATGCCTTGCACGAAAGCCAAGAGTCTCATCCAAGTTCTTGAAATATTTTGCTGGTCATGAGTTACATATTTGGGCACTGTAGCATGGCTCATAACAAATCTAATATCTTCAATCACACGAATTGTGATCTCATACAAATTTGAAAACTTGGTAACCTACAAGGAATAACCAACCATTTTACTACATGTGACCAAAACAAATGGGAAAATATGAACTTTTATCAAACAAAAGAAAGCGCATCAGATACTCAATCACAATGATCTGGAAAAACAAAGAAAGGAAAAAAATAACCAGAATAAAAAAAAAATAAAAATAAAAAAAAAAAAAAAAAAAAAACAAACTGAAAGAATTCCAAAAAGGGAGCATAAAAAGTAACCTAGTTAGAACACCATACAAACACGACATGACTTAGGATTATAACATAACTATACAACCTAAGTTGCCAAGTTATCAATTCCATAATGAAGGTGGCAGTGACAAGGAGGCAATGTGCAGAGGAATAATGATAATTTTGCAACCTATAGAGATACATAAATATTATATAATATTAAGTGAGATCAGTGAAGCATTCAAAATACCAACAATTGTCCTTCCCTAACTACATTTTTAAAAGAAAACAATTGAATTAGTGGTAAATTAGTAAAAGATCACATTTGGAACTAAAAAAATTAAGTAAAAACTATAAAAATTGAAGAACCCAATGTATTAAGAATTTTTTTAGAAAATAACAAATTGTAAATTCAACTTTTCAAAAAAAAAATTTTAAATACGAAGACCCAATTGGCACACACGTGGGCATGTGCCAAGGGGTTAGTATAGCCTTAAAGGAAAAAAAATCAATGCATTACCTGTAAACGACCGTCATCTCCAGCACAGGAAATGAAAATATCTTCCAAGCATCCCATCAGCATAGACAGCAGGTTCATTTCTTTCACAAGACGAGGTGTTAAAGTTGGCACCGTGAAGATTTGAACAGAGAATGCAAAGAGCAGTGGATACTTTTTTACAGAAGGGTGGCTTAATTCCTTTCTGGCTTCACCTACAACAGCTGGGTAGTAACTCAAAAATACTTTGGCAAACTCATATTTGAAAACAGGTTCTCCCAGCAGTTTCAGTAGCAACTCATGCAGCCTTTTCATAACAGTGTCATTCAAAAACCTTTCTGCCGTCATAAGAATCCCTAATAGATCCCCTGATGCTAAAACCGTCTTGGATACAAAACTTAGCAAACTCTCACTGTACTTACAGAATTCTAGAAGCATCTCAACCACGAAAAAAGTTAACTCATTTTCAACCTTTCTACGTTCTCCAACTTGGTCACTTGCTCTAGCATTTTCCCGCCAGATAGTTTCACAAAGAACCAGCTTGGTTTTCCATATATCAAAGAGGCAATCAAGAACAGGCCCTACAATGTTTGCAATCTCCTTTGGAAGAGGTTGTATCTGTTCCGCACCTTTATGATTTGAGCAAAAGCCTTTGCGCTTCCATGCTGTAACATCACCACAATCACAACAACCACCACCAGTATAAATAACTGAATAATCATGATCCTTGTGGTTCCCATTCTGAAAGCACGGAACACAAATTGCACATGTTGGATCATTTGCACATGTTCGGCATCTGTAAGCTATATCGTTATGTCCCCAAACAGCTCCACAAATACCACGCTGCCCAACACTCATTTTGGAGAGACTCTTCAGGGCTGACTTAGGTTCACCCTCAAACATCAACCACTGCAACCACGACATGCTTTCGTGGAATTGACTTTTCATGCTTACACCTTGTTTCTTAGTCCCTGGTTTTGCTTCACTTAGAGCCACTTCGTCATCAGCGGGTAGTATAGCGGAAACCAGTTCCGGTATCCGTTGCTTGTTATTCTTAATAAAAGCAACCAACCCACGTTGGTATTCACCAAGAAACTCGTTTGGCACTCCCAGTTGAGCTAGCCTCTGCATAAATTAACAACAAAAACATAAATGTGAACCTTTTTTCTGAGCCATATCAGTAAAATTACGATACGAAACGAAAGTAAAAAAAAGTACATATACATTAAAACCTAATATTTTTCCCAGAAATTTCACTCAATTACTCAAACGAGTATTACGATATCAGCTCTAGGAAATGATCAATAATTCCAAAAAATTTAAATAAAAATAAAAAGGAACAAACTTTCAACAACACTTAAACAATTAATTGCATCCCAACCTCTGTAATTCAACAGATTAACTGCTGAAAAAAATACAGAAAATAATAAAAAATTGGATAATCAAAAGCAGAAAATTCATACCCGCACGATTCGATCACGATGCTTGATGTGCGTGTATTCAGGAGGCAAATCGGCTTCCATAGTATCAGAACTCCAGCACCGAGCAATCCAATCCACGCAGCACAAACAAAGCTTAATCGCAGAGCCTTCACTCCCCAGGATTACTCAACAACCACAATAATTAGTGCAATAAACTCTAATAATTCTTCCTTATTCGACTGCCAAATCGAATTTCGCAAGCCCTAATTCACCATCTGACAGTTGAATATATACAAATAATTGTATTCAATTCTCTCTCTCTTGGCGGTTTATGCAGAAGAACTCGAAGAATCTATACGGAGACAGAGAAAGAGGACTTGGGAATATAAAATTGGATATTTGTCCAGATTGCGTGTAAAATTTTGTTCTTCGCAGTTAATTTTTGGTGTTTGCTTGTTCGGCTGGATTTTTAATTTTTTTAATTTTTAATTGTTTTTTTATACTCTGCAGCGGTTGCTGTGGATGTTCACAAATTCATATCATTTGTGTTTGGATAATCTTCAACTTGTTGATGGGCTGTGGAGTTGCAGGCCAGCCCAATTTGAGGGAATGAAGAGGCAACGGAGTTTGGTGGATAACACTAACAGGTCAGCCCAACTTCGTTCTAGGGGCGTCGGCGGCTGGAAGAGCATTCGCTCATGCACACAATATTATCTCTTTGTTCGTCACTCCGCTAATATTGGTTATAAGAGCATTTTATTTTTAATAGAAAAATGTAAATTTGAGATGCAAAAGTTACTTTTATATTCTTTTTTGTATTTTTGGTAAATGTAATGAAAGTTTTATTTCAATGGGAGGGATGAATTTGATATTCATTTAATTTTCTCTCTTTGATTAGTGAGACACTTCATCAAAATACGTAAAAGAATGTAAAGTTAGGTTTTTATTTATATCTTCCGGAAGATGGAGAGTTTAAAATCTGCCAATGGAGATTTTTTCGACAAAGAAAAGATGTAAAATGTCCATTTCGATTTATCTCCCCTTAAAGAGGCCCTTGTGGAGCAAGGAGAGAACATTCCTAATCCATGTAATAGGAAATAAAATCCTAATTTTTTTACAAAATAAAATCTTCTAAGCAAAGGAAAATAACACAATTCAATTTGTTCTTGGATGTTGACTCACGCCAACACTTCTCCTTAAATTGGAGCATATATGCCACAAAAGTAAAATACCATGATGTAAATCTTCTACCAAATAACCTAAATCTGAAGTCATATGATCATTGAATTAAATTTTGTATTTATTAGTAGAACCGTATTCGTTCATTTTTTTCATTACAAATGAGTGTCTTAATGGTTTTGGAGTTGTCTAATTTTTTGCAAGGATGATGTATGACTGATGAATTAATATATAGATGATTTGAATTGTTGGAAAAAGTTACATAATGAGCACCGAAATGTTTCCCTCAAATGAGTTTATTTGAGGGGTCCCTCAACAAAATGAGACTTATGTGTGTGTGTGTGTGTGTGTGTGTAAGGTACAATGTTACTTACAAATCATTTTGCTTTCTATTAGTTTTTAATTATCTTAATTCAAATCATTTTGCTTTCTATTAGTTTCTAATTATCTTAATTTGATTTTCTTACATTAAATTCATTCACCTGCAAAGCGTGTGACAAATATTTCTTTCAATTCGAATAGGTAATAGAGAGATAATAATTGAGTAAAGAATATAATAACGTCTAAATGCGTCCAAATAATGACCGAGATATATTACCAAATGTGTTTGGAGGAAACATAAACTAGATAAGGGAAGAAACCGAGAACTGATTTCCTCACTTTTTTTTTTTTTTTTTTGTCCCTTTGCACATTTTTTCTAGCCTGTAAATTAAATAAATAAATAAAGAATAAAAAGACAAAAATAAATGGAGGATTGCAGAAAGAAAAAATTGAAGAACGAAAATCATTTCCCAAAACTGAATCCCACACACAAAACTCAATCCAACACACAAAACTCAATCCATTGTTTATTTTCAAAACGATAATCTAAGTCCTTCCACTTTATGTAAAAATAGACCTCAAAACTAACATAACTGCAAACAAATCAAATTTTGATTGCTTTGCCTAGATGCTAGGTTTAGAGGCGCTTGAAGACTTAGATGAAACGGAAAATGGTTCTATTTTCCATTGTTAGACATGAAATTTCAACATTGAATCGATAATTTACTAGAGATACATATTAAATAAAAACAATCATTTGTCAAATTTTTTTGTCAATTTTTATGAATTAATTTTATTATTAGGAGCTTTATTGCTTCTGATTTTGTTAGTCAGTTAACTCTCTCTCTCTCTTGTCCCACTTTGCCTCCATGATGTCCTGTATTAGTCAAGAGAAAAGCACACCAATCCTAACCTCCACACTGGAAAAATTTGAGGTGACTCATGTACATGACCAGCCTTCGACCTCTTTTCATAAACCTAGAGTTCTAGAAAGCTCTAGTACTAAAGAGAAAGAGGAGAGGCACAAGCAACTCATTTAAAGCTTGAAAGATCATATAGCTGTAAAAAAAAAAATATTTGCCACTTAATTATGTGATCATCAGTAGTTTTGTTACATTCTAATACTTTTATATATGTTCTTTTTAGAATGTTGCATTACAACTAAAATGACAGCCTTTTGAGCAAGCATAACCATCTACTCAAAGGAATGAAATCAAGAGATACCAAAAGAGGAAGTTAAACCCTCTTGATCATCATGACCTCCCAGAATTAATGAGGGAACAAAACCTTGAGGAATTTTAAAGTCAACTCATGACTCCCTTAGACATTGGTCATTACTTGGTTAACGCCCAATTCTTATCTAAACCACGTGGAAGTTGTTGATAAACTTTGATGCTGTGGGTGATCCTGTTGTTGGAAAATAAAAAGGAAAGTATTTTAGAGATATGATTTAAATAGGGATTTGATATGATTTGATTTGGTCTAGGTTTCTTTGTCTTGTGGACAAAGGTTTGTTTTGATTTATTTCCTAGTATTGCTCCTTGTAATCTTATAAATACCTCCATATAGAGAAGAACAAAGTGTGTGGAATTATGAAATTCTATGTTTAACTTAGCATCAAGAGCTAAGTTTGATCTTGGGGCTGCAACCTTTAGTTAGTCATATTTTCACCGAAAAAAAAAATGTTTGAAGAATCTTAAGATCAAAAGCCACTATCAAAATATGATGCAACACTGCCCATGTTGCACCATGATCATATGAGTATGCAAATTTCCCCTAACAAATTTGATGGGACAAATTACTCTTCATGGTCCTAATTTGTGAAGCTATATATCACGGGTAAAGTAAAGATGGGATACTTGACACGAAAAACTCCAGAACTTGCTGTTGCTTATTCAAACTTCACTACTTGGATGTCTAAGAATGCCAAGATTATGTCATGGCTTCTTAACTCAATGACTCGAGATATCAGTGCTAGTTACCTACGACTTCCCATAGCCTATGATGATTTAGGATGCGGTGAAAGAGATGTGATGTTGGAAGTGATGGTTCTCAAATTTATGAATTAGGGCTTCAAGCACATAAAACTCATCAACAAGGGAAGTCATTAGCTAGTTATTATTCTACTCTGCAGGTTATTTGGCAAGAACTTGATTTTCTTCAACTAGGTGATATGGAGTGTGCTGTCGATACTATTAAGCTGAAGAAAAGAATTGAAGATGAGCAAGTCTATGACTTCTTAGCTATTCTTCATCTTGGATTTGATCTGATTCGAGTACAAGTTTTGTCACAAAATCCTCTTCTAAATTTGCGAATTGCACATGCTTTTGTTCGGCGTGAGGAACTTCGTCAATCTGCGATGTATGAAGGTCAGCGCTGAGTGCAATATCTCGTCGTCCTCAACATACATATGTGCCTCCTCCAACATGAAAAGATGAAAAGGATTCACTTTATTGTACATATTGCAATTGTCGTACTCGAGAAACTTGCTTTCAACTAAAAGGAAACCCAGATTGGCACCCAAAATCAAAAGCACATGTTGTTACTTCTATTGCGCCATCATCTGATACTTCACCTCAATGCATTGTGCCCATGCTGGAAAAGGTCTTGCAAATCTGGCAATAACAGAGATTGGTCTTGGTAAGCGTGTTTTTCCATCATGAATTTTATAATTTTTATTTTTAGTTTTTAATTTCTTTTTAAGAAGAGGAAAAGAAAAAAAAAAGAAAAAAAGATTGATTATCAGACTTTTGAAAAAAGATGTTAGTTTCAATTGGACTTTCGAAAAGGTTAGCGTTAGTTGCAGTTAGACTTTCGAAAAGAAGCGTTAGTTTTGAGGATTATGATTTGTTTGTCAGGCTTTCAAAAAGAGGTGTTTGTTCTAGTTGGGCATTTGAAAAAATTGGCGCTAGTTCCAGCTGGCTATTCGAAAAGAGGCGTTAGTTCTGATGGATTGTGATTTATTGAGCTTTCGAAAAAATTGGCTTTAGTTTCAACATATCAATGAAGATTTCTTTCTAGGCAAACTCATGATTTCACATCATGAGTTTGAGGAGGGGTGTTGGAAAATAAAAAGAAAAGTATTTTAGAGATATGATTTAAATAGGGATTTGATATGATTTGATTTGGTCTAGTCTAGGCTTCCTTATCTTGTGGACAAAGGTTTGTTTTGATTTATTTCCTAGTATTACTCTTTTGTAATCTTATAAATACCTCCATATGGAGAAGAATAAAGTGTGTGGAATTATGAAATTCTATGTTTAACTGCTGCAAATGATCAAAAATCAAATGATAATGATGATAGTTTGGAATATTTTGTTTAAATATTAGTTTGCTTAATATTTTGTAACTAGTTTTGAAAATTAGGTAAATTGTTTGTTTGACGACTATTGAGTATCAGGTGACCTTGGTAATCATTTGAAATACAAGTGATGATTATGTGTAAATCGACTTACAAGAAATCTAGAATATTTTTCTTTTGGTTATTCTCATTGTGGTGGAAATATGTATGTAAACACTTATATACATACATATTGTGCAATGAGTTGCAAGCATTTAAATTCCAAATACATATACTCATGTATAACACAACTAGTTGAGAACAAACCATTCTACTTTTATGTAAGTAATTTATATCATTTTGAGGTTAATTTGTGGGAATAAATCCATATTAAATTGGAGCTTGCTGGGATGAACTGATTTGGAAGACTAGCGAGAATAGGCGGCTGAACCAACATAACAGGTTTCCAAAGGTGGTGAAAGTGCCAAATCTGCACGCTAATGACGGCATAACTATCAAATTTGGTCAACAAGGTAGTCAGCCTACAGATCAGTTCACACAAGGTGGCGGGCCGCCATGTTAAACACCTAAGGTGGTAGATAGGGAAAATTTAGTCAGCCAAGGTGACGCAAATAGTAGATTCGGTTGCTTAGGGCGACGCAACCTTCAAATTCAATCATCCACATGTGGGCTACCATATGATTTGAGCGC